TCTGCTTCTCAACACACACATTTCTGAAGTGCACTTACAGACTACAGGACTAGCCATCTCTGTTATAAATATAGATCTATATATATATTTATATATATATGACAAACCATAACAACCTTTAGAATTCATTAGATCAGCATTTGGTTAAAAAGCAGCAATCCCAAATACGTATTTACACAATGCACAGCGGGACTCCAGGTAAGAAGTAGACATTGGATAAAGTCARCAGCAGCTCTTTTTGCCCTTGTAAACTTTTGTCCCCCCACCAGGGACAGCCTTTTCTTTGTGCAGGACCCTCGTCATGCACAGAAATCATGCATCAAACAACTCAAGACATAGTACTCCAGATTAAAGCATTGGAAGCAGATTAAAAATTAGATTTAAGGCTAAAATATTATTGGTGTCCCCCTTCTGCAAGGTCGAGTAGGTTATGAAGATGCTGTCCCTGATTCTGCAAACACTCTGCCTTGCCTTGCTGAACAGAGCCTTCTTTAAAGCAAGTGCAGAGTGGCCTTAGGATCAGGACTAGGTTGCATTTTCTGGGCTAGATGAGACGTGCAGTAATATTTAATGATTGCAAGGATGAATTAGCAATGAGCTCACATGCATGTGAAATCTCTGGCTTTGCAAGGTTTGATCACAAGGACAAATGGTCTGCACTTCATCTGTGGAGAAGATGGGTCAAATGGTAGTGGAAGGCAAGCAAACTCCAAAGGGCTGTCTCAGAGACATTCGTGCACATAGTAAAATGTACAGGACTTTGCTCAGAGCCTTGAGGGTCTCCTTCATTTAGCAGCAGGAGCCTCCCTGAGCCTCCTTCTCTCATTCCCATCCACTTCTGCTCCAGGTTAGTGGCCTGCTGGTACAGCTGTTTGTTCAGTGCAAGTCAGCCTAGTCAAAAGGGGGAAAAAAATCATTTCCAGGAAGATTTTGTTGTTGATCTAATGTGTCTAGGATCATTTCCCAGCATTGCTGCAGAGCAAGCAGCTGGTAACTGCAGCAAGGGGCTCAGCCCAGGGCTTGCCTGGGACTTGGAGCAGTTAGACTTGGTCATTTCCAACATAAAACTTGAGAAGGGCTAAAAAGTCTGATTCTGGGCCACTGAAAACAGGCTGCTGGGGTCTTACAGTCAGGAGGATAGGCTTGAAAATGCAGAGAGGCACTTATATGCATGAAGATCTCTTTATACCCTTCCATGTGCAAATACCTGTGAAAATGGCCCTGCACATTTAAAAGACAGATCTATAAAACCTATGGGACACTTGGGTGAAACAGCCAACAGTTATGATGATTTATGTCAGGAAAGGGTCTGGTGCTAATTATTTGTCCAATAAATTCATATCAGTCTCTCATAGCTCTTGCACAACGCAGTTAGCCAAGTCTTCAAATTCAAACTGCCTCAAAAATACTTCGTAAAGAGGGGTCYTCACTCACAGCTGGGGCTGTGAGAATATACAAATAACATGGAACCATAAAATGAACAGAATTGAAAAAGATCAGGATCCACAAAGTGGCATAGGGGACTAAATTTTCTTAATTGTCTGCCAAAGTTCTGCCTGCCACATTYACAAAATATGAAGAAAATGTTAATTGAACGTGCATGTGAGAAATCGATATCRTGTATGGGTTGCAGATAACAACAAATAGAAAATTGCATATTGCCTAAGCAGCTGCACAAGTGTTGCACATGCAGTTCCATATTTTGGGCACACGTTATAGCCATATTTTACAATTTTTTTTTTTCAAAAACATTGAAATAACAACTGTAAAACCCCCGTGGACACACACACGAACACAGTCACATTTCTGTTTGACGAGGGAACAGTTCCGCTTCACGGTCAGCGATAATAAAGAATTGTTGCATTACATTTGCCATCGTTATTCTAACGCACTGGAGTGAAAGTGTTGTCTACTATATATATAATACTCAGCAGACATGTAGTTGCTCACATTTACATTCATCACTTAGACATACATTTTAGAAGGTTTGCCAGTTGCCTATAAGAAGTCAGCTGAATATCTAGCACTTAACGAGCCACAGTATCATATTTCTAGTATCTTATAAAATGTCACCAGGAAACATTAGGATATTACTTTTATTCTGTATATTGAGTCAGTTTATCAAGCACCAGCATTTACAACTATCGCTTACTTCAGCCGGTAGAAATATGACAATGTGTCAGAGAGCTGATGTAAGTAAAGGGAAATTATATTTATTCTCTGCTATAAGATTAATTCCGGGAGAAAGGCACCATGAAAGAAAGACAAATTTTTAAACATGCGCAAGGGGAGAGATTTATTGCTCATGGTGTCACATAAATCAACCAGTGACTGACTGTGATACACACGTGTAATGAGGCAATCCCACTCCATAATGAGGCATCCTTCTCCATCTTTTGCTAGCCATCCTATCAGAATCATAAGATTTTTCTGGGAGATTATCTTACTAGACTTGAATGATGGACCAAAAATTGGAAATCTTGCCAGGGCTGGGTTTATCAGCATGCAAACCTCCCATTGACTTTGGCAGTAGCCTCACATATAAATTGACAACATATGTGAACTTTAACCATCAGCCTGGTTTGGGTTGCTTAAGTAAAAGTGATTTTAGCTGAAACAATCTAATACCTAGCATTTTATCTTTTTAAACTTAGTAGCAATCAACCTTAATTCCCTGCAGAAGGCAATCAAGTCGTCAAAATGACTTGAATTTCTTAAGGAACAAATAATGAACTGGATGTTTTCATCTATTGCACCTGAGAAGATTATGTTACAACTAATAAGTCAAAAGAATAAGATGAGGTAGACTATTTAAGCTGGTTCAGGACTAATTATGAGTACAGAGGTGGAAAAAAACTTACTTACATTCTGTGGCTGTGCATAATTTAATGTAGTTATTCTACAGTTTTGTAACTAAAATGAACAGTTAAACTGGAAGGTTTTGCTCACATGGTAGCTGTTAATCTGCATTATGGTACCTGTCCAATTCCTAAAGCAAATGACAACAGGATTTTGTGGGTTAACATTTACCTTGCAGCTGTGGTATCGTGACAGATTGGGGGATCAAGGTTGGCAAATAAAAAGCATTTCCTAAAAAAAGTAATGGTTCTGGCTTCTGCATCTGCAGGCAGAATAAGGGTAGGTGACAAAACAACCAACTAGATGAGCTGTTACTTAAACTGCTGTTRCATGTGTGAAGCCTAATTGTCCAGAACTATTTTAGTCTGTGCCTATATCTACTATTTCTCTCACCAAAATAGCTGTGTTCTTCATGTCCTCTGGGCAAAAACTCTCTAGATCTACCTGGAAAAATTCARTTTCACTCCTGATGTTGTTTGGACTTTGTCATACGTTAAGTCACCTTCTGGAGATGAGTGTGTGCAGAACTGAGGTCAGAGTTGATAGTTAGTCTTTTGTCAATTCATGTAAAAATTGAATACTTGAACCTAATAGTTAAAGAAATTACCTGAAATTAATTTTAAGAGATTATGGGGTGGACAGTTTCTGATGTAAGCTCTTTCAGAAACTGATTATTTCTTAAGAATAGCAACAGAAATGATAGCTGCTTAATTATTGCTTTTGATATTCTACATCTTCATTAATAAGAAAAATCTTGAAAAAGTAACTTCATAGTGAATTTTCATTGAATCAAGAGAGAAGTTACTAAAATCAGGAACTTTTCATCGAGCTCACAGGATGATGGCTTTAGCATGAGACACCTAGGGGACAATTATGAAGCCATCTCCCAGCTSCTCTTGTGCTTGAAGGAATATAATGAATTAAATGATTTTTAAAAATTATAACGTAAAAGAAAGGTGTCGCAGGAAGTGCCACATGTAAGATTGCCCTGACTCTGGATATTTTGCAGGTATGTAGGATTACGTTATCTGCAGGCAGCATTGAATGCGTGGTAAGTGGTCATAGCTTCATTGAGTAGAGCTAGAAACGCCCCGAACCAGCACAGACACTGGAGTGTGGAGCGGCAATCCAGAGCTATAAATCCAAATCCAGACCTCCTGAGGGGTTAGGGCGGCCAGATGTGGATCCGGATTACATCCCCTGCCCACACTTCTGTGTTGTGGAGGGTTGCGCTCCATTATTTTTGCTCAAACTGCTTTGGAAATAGTACCTTTAAACAGCTTTGGGCTATCATCTTCTCTTTAAATAGTGTGTCTATCAGAATAAAAATATCGACTAATGAAATCTTAGTGGAAGGAACATATATAATATGTTTTGCTTAGTCTTCCAAGCTCAGGGCCTTGTTCTGCAGCCTTTGGGCMAAAGCCATTTCTTTATAGCTCAGACTTACAAGAAAGAGGTTTGAATGCAATAGACATCCTCACCTTTCCACCTGCTCCACCATTTTTGGATCAAAAGTCCTCTGGAATGTAATGGGGAGAAAACTAATAGGATCGCATGGAATTTACTTAACAAATACACAGTAGATTTGGCTGGATACAGCCTGTAGGGTACTGTAGAAAGGATTATCTCTATTCTCACTGCTACAGAATGGTTAAAAAGACCTACAGAAGTTGTTGAAGGCTGCACTGGACACAGTACGGGTATCCAGGAAGAGATTTTGCTATTAATTTCTTTAGAGATGTTTCTACAGGGCCTACTCAAGCAGCCAGATTGGGGTTATTTCTGCAGAGGCAGCGAAACGCAGAGCACCAAGTGCCCCGTGCAGCAACCCCATGGTGGCACCTTTCTGCTCCCAGGACTTTTCCCGAGTCCTTTGGCTACGGAGCATCTTTCCCCCCTGCATATGTGTGGCTGCTGCCGGGATCAATGGGACGCCAGCRCAGGCAAAGCCCACGGGAGCACGTAGCAGAGGGAGCATGCACGGGGCTGCTGCTGGAGGAGGCCACCCGGGCACCGGTCCTCCTCGGAGCCCATCTCCGAAGCCCTGTTAGCCAAGCAGAGCTGCTGGGGATGGGCCGGGTATGCTTGTTCCACCCATATATCCCTTCACATTTCCGCACAATCCCATACTGGCCTCGTCACTCGTTCAGCTGCAGGATATTGCGGTTTGGGGGCTCGCTTGCCAGGGCGGAGGAGTTGATGGAGCTTCGCTTGAGGATCCGGTTTATGATGTCCTTCCATGTCTTCTTGTACTGGTGTCGGAGCAAGGAGTACACAAAAGGGTCTGAGACGACTTTGCTGTAAGCTAAGCACTTGGAAATGATTCCCCAGTGGGAGCTGATGGGGACCACGGAGGATAACTCAATGAGTCTGTGAAGAGAGGATGGAAGAAAGAGTACATGTTAGGAGGAAAGACATGGAGCAACAGCACAATTGCAAATCAAAGGACACTCCGTGTGTCCTCTCACGGATTCTCCTCTCCAAAGAAAGAAAGCAAAACCCCRTAACTTATTTTAGGAGCCTTGCAAGAAACATAGTAAAGAATCATGAAAATGGAAAGGTAGCGCTCTCCTTATAGATGTTTGTGACTGCATATGTAAGTCGTCAGTTTGCTTCGCAAGGATGGGATTACACATCTCCTATTGGAAGGTCTGAACCTCCAAACTCTAAGATATTCTTGATTTAGTATATTTAGCTGTTCATTTATGGAGGTTGGGAGCAGATTCTGGGTGTGCTCTCTCCTAAAAGACTCTTTTGATCTTTTCCCTTAGAATCCACAGAAGAATTTTGTGCAAAAAGGAACAGCTCCAGCAGGAGGTATGAGGCAGTTTTACTTCAAAAAACCTATTTATTTGTTACTAAAATACATCTTTGGAGGCCTAAAACATCTGAGTCCACATATCTTTGATACAGACCTGGGTTTGAACTCTTCTGGCTCACTCCGGCCATGGAGATTTTGATAGTGACACCAATTTGTCTAGGGTAATATAACTGAGTCTTTTATTTCTCTCTAGTGGGTATTTTGTATGGGATTGYGAATGCTCCAAGGTGAGCAGGTCCACACTTTCCAGAAAATTTATTCTTCATGAAAAACTTGATATAGCATCTACTCGTAAAATTATTTACTACAGAACACGTCCTCAGCTGTGGCACTAAACCAGGGCTGTTCCCTCACCCTTTCCTTGCAGGGCATGTCTGACATCTTTCTTAAAACTAGGAATCAAATCCAGACATAATTCTCTTCTACTCAAGCTGGTGACGTCTCATCTGGCATAATTCTCTCTCATTTAATAAAAGGTAGCTTGTAGAACCTGTGATAATATGATCCATCAGCCATGCTTCTTCCTACCTTGTTATTCCCCAGCTCCCGTATTTTATGTCACCTTCCTTGCTTTGTGAAATTTCATCTTGTTGAATTTCATCTCATTGACTTAATTTTGCTGAATGCTTTACAGATATGAATTTGATTAAGTTTACTTAAAATCAGTGCATGCGTTTAATGACTGAGCTAGGACAGACTTGTGTCTCAGTCTCTTTCAGTTAGTTCCAAAAAAAATTTTTAAAAAGGTTGGAAGCTTAGACTGGCTGATCCATTTAAAAACTTATATTTTTATCAAAAGAATTGTTAAATATTTTGTTTAATGCTGTTTCCTTAAGACTCCTTACATGTTTTATGATCCTTGCTTATTGTTTTTGATAGCAAATTACACTTGGAGCTATCAAGCAAAAAGCACAGAAATGTACACAAACCCCAAGCCACGCAATTCCACTTATTGTACAAAGAATTAGAATTTGATCTCAGTCACTCAAGGCATATAATACACCTTATTGCCTTCGAAAGAGGGTTTTGTCTCTCACTGATGAGGGAAATTTCATGCATAGCTTCCATTTTCATGAAACATTTCAGTGAAAAAGAAGACGTTTTCAGGGAAGGAGCATTAATATTTCAGCGCTACTTGTAAATTTAATTCTCTGGCTAAGCTACATAACTCTGTTCCTTGCTTTCGTAAGTCACTCTTATTCTATCTGATCTTCAAATGCCTTTTTACTTCAAAACTGTAAATTATTTTGCTGTGAACCTTTGTTAATATTTTAGGACCTTATACTTTTCTAGGGCAATAGTGTCAAGTGGCTCTCCAATAACTTTGTTGCACCTTTGGTAAGCAAATGAGGATGTTACCTTGATCATTTTTTTGCAGATAATAGACACCGAAAGCTCTCGATATACTTGCATAGTTAGTAATTTTAGAAAAATCTATATGGCAACATATCTGTTGTATGCATTGCTTGAACCTGGGAATTTTTCTGAGTTATAAAGAAAATTCTGGCTAGACCTGAGAGTCTCAGGCAGGCTAAAATGGCTTAAGCTTCAGCAGTGAAAGAAAACAGCCCTGCATTTTGGAACAGACAGATGATATTACACTCATGAGAAGAAATTCAGCCCTTTCTCCAAGAATTTGTATCCAGTCCTTTAATTTAAATTCCACATACTTCTGTTTGTGATTCAGTTCTGATTTTATCACAATTTAAACTTAGTGGTTCCTGTTTTGTTAATGTTACCAATAAGCTACACAAGTTTTATATTTCAATTTTGATGTTCATTTTACYGCAGTCGCACTTGGTGGACTGTAGCTTTTGTGACATCTTGCTTGTGACAGAGCCTCCTTTTTAATAATTGCTTCACTAATATAAAAAAAAAGGCATCTCACTGATTGCTTGCTGATTTATTTTTAGCTTTGCTTCTTAAGGGATGCATATACTACAGCTGGCCAAATACTGTAGGGAAGCAGCACAACCTATGCGCTCCTATAAGGAGAGCTATAAATCTCGCAGACCTTGGCTTTTAACCATTGCTGTTCCCCAGAGCTGCAGGAATTACTTGTCAGCACAAAGAAACCACGGCAGAGACTGGGCAGCCCTGGCCACCAGCATTTTCATACAGGAGGAAAATATCCCATCCTCACGTCAGCTGAGCCTTCTCAAGGGAGGCTAGAAAGCCACAAGCTTCCAATCTGTCAAACTAAAAATGTGCAGGGAAATCATGCATTTAGATGCACGAGCAAAATTCCCAGGGGWATGTGGAGCTTGCTTGTCCAGATCCAAAAAGGATCTATGTGCAGAGGACAGTCAAGCTGCTTAAAAGYACGGTTGGTTTATCCAGTGTCCCCCGGGGACGATGCAAGAGAATTTAAGTCTTCTGCCACTTCCACCATCCTCCCTTTTTCCCCGAGGGCCTGGGACTATGAACTTCTTTCTGATATAACCTCAGGTTTTTTAATTAAATGCAAATTTTCTGTCACATTGAAAGCAGTTATGAACTTACATAAGCAAAATTCTGCATTTTGGTGGAAAAAAACTGCAGTTGATAATAAATATTAGTTTTTTTTAATGAAAAATATCTTTGGATAGAATAGGTTTTGATTGAAGTTATTTAATTGCATAATGATAAACATAGCAAAAGAAGAGAGATGTATACTAACAGCACTATTACAAACCTAGAAGCTATCTATGTCTAGAAATATATAACACTACTGTTATCCATAGGAAAGATAAAATAAGCAGAATCAGAGCATACGACTACATATGATACCGATCAGCCAATGAACTAATTAAAAGTAAATTTTTCCTGATTAAAGTGGTAACTAAGCTTATTTTACTGTAATGTGATCTGAAAGAAACTTTGATTTATCAAAGAATTTAGCTGACTGGTCTTATAAGCAGGTCTCTTTCACTGACTCACAGAGCTGCTGGACAGAACTATTTGTTTTTAGTGTGGCAGAAGAAATATGTTATTAAATAAGCCTTGCAATTTCTCATTTTGAGGCCTCAGTTCCCAAAGTGCTTAGATCTGTGATTAATTTAAGGGTACTGCTGGTTCGAGAAGTTTATTTCACTGCTTATCTTGTAATCATTGCCTTGAAAAGTGATGCCTCTTTCCTGTCCGTAGCACTCTCGACCTAGTCCAGAAAATAATATTTTTTTATATAGTTCATCTCAGAACCCTGATAACCCCTGATAATTCAGATATACTGGAAGAGGCTGGGAAAGCAGCAGCTTTTTCTGCCTATCACCCTCCCCCTGCTTGGACAAGCATCTTGGTCAACTCATGACCCTGCATCTTGAATCTGCTCAGCACCCTTCTCCAGGAAAAAGATATTAGTCCATGATAGACTGAAGAGAGAGGTTCCAAGCTGAGATCTGCCTTATCTGAGCTTTAATTGTAGTCTCATATATCTAAGGGAAATGCCCTTCTCGGATCAGGATCAGAACAGATTGTCTGTGAGGGATCTTTCTTCTATTAGAGCTGTTTCCTACTGGATTTATACTTAAATGATGCTTATGCAAACTAAAAGGAGAAGGACCAGGACTTTCTACCCCCTCTTCTGCACCTCAAACCTCCCAAACAAAACCTCAAAGAGCTGCACAAAGAGTAGATAGCCCAGCAAGGGCTCAACACATTCCCAGAGGATTAGGCCCTKTTGCTGGCAGAGGAATGGCAAAGCAGGGGATTAAATGAGGGCTTAAGCAGCTCATTACCTGGGTTTGGTATCAAGCCTTGTATCTGCCGTCCAGGCACAAAGGAGTGTGCTGCAGAGCAAAGAGCAAGTGTGGAGGTGGTGATGAATATAGAGAAGGCCCAAAATAGCCTGGCAGCCTGGTTAGTGCGGGCAGAGACTTAGGACGGAGCCTTCGGCTGTTATGACTACGACTGCGATGGTTTTTATTAAGTTCAGCCACCCAACACAAAGCGAAATTTAACCATTTGCAACCAGATACGGTGTTATAGCCTGAGATGACGGCTAGACGACCTCACTTCTTACACAACGGRTCATGCCTGGTTAGAGTGTGTGGAGTGGCTTATTGTGGCGGTTAAGTTGAAGGGAAGACAAAYAGGGAAACACTGTTGGAAATACGCTTGCAATGTTCTATTACAAATAAACAGCATAAATTAATTGGTTATTATTGTCTCAAACATAAAATTAATGTTGCATGCAGGTTTCCATTTGCAACAAGAAGCTACAATATGTTTATATAAATTATTTAGTTGGAAATTGAGAATATTATACCAAATTGGAAAAATCTGTTTTTTGCTATGTGACGCCTTATACTGAGACTTAATTCAGCTAATTACCTCTCCAATGATTCATTTTTACAACGGATCTGAGTTTGGCTGAAGTCAGCCCCAATAATTTTTGTTTGATAAAACTGGAGTAGGCGGTACTTTAAAAATACTCCTTTTCTTTCTCTGTTCTGCATAAAACAGCAAAATTTCTTTATTTCTTTTTTGKTTTTTTTTCCTATAGCCTTTTAATAATGCATGCTAGTTACAAATTTCCTCACAATAACTTGATAACAGTTATCTGGATATACTCACTTTCTAATACTTATGTCTCATAGGAGTAATTTTGTGTTTCCCACAGGAACCATTTTCAAAGATAAGCTAGAGATAAGCTCAGGACRGATGAAGACATTGGCTCATAAATCACAAGAATTTTTTAGCTGTAAGCCAGAAGAGCTTTGATATTCTGTTTATGACTGAGAGCTCTATCCAATAAGACAAACTCCCCTTGCAGCCTGTGGGCCATATACTCACCTCAATCTGATATTGTTTGACTGGATTATTAACATCTGAATTGTTCAAACTACTGTCATACTATTGAAGTCATCCACCTCATCCAGGTAGGCAATTGACTATCTGGTCCAAAAAAAAAAGGAGTAGAGATTCGTTGTCCTTTGTGGACCAATTCTTCATTCATCCTCCAAAGATGGTGACCAAACCATCCATTTGACTGACTGTAAAAAACTGTGCCCAAAGACTGCATCAGGACATGGGATAATTACCATGAGATATATGTAATTCTTTAACTTCCATAAATGAACTCTCTGTTATAGGAGTGGAAGAAAATGAGCAATATTTTGACAGGGGACCTGAGGATTAGTGTTCTGTTTCTGACTCCCAGTGCCCTCCTTTCCCTAATTAATGTTTGCTTCAGCAGGTAGCTCCACACTTACCTTGTAATAACGTAAGGTGCAAAGCAAAGTATAAAAGTCCCAATAAAGGTACTAATTTTCTTCGTTGCTCTTTGCCTCCGTCTCTTCTGTTCCTCTAGACAACGCTCTCTTACGCTGTGTGACAGTCAAGACAGAAAAAGAACATGAATCACAGCATCACATAGCAAAGTTTAATGGCTTTCCTTACGGAGTAAGCTGTCCGGTAAGCATGGACATAATGGATAATTATTATCACAATTACATGATATATATATATATATAGATTTACATATATATATCCATCACAATGGATAATGCCAGCTGCGCTACATTTATGTGGGACAGCACTGACTCTTAATGCATTGTACGATCACCTTACCCTTGAGAAGAGGTTACAGAGAAATAGAAGTATTTATATGTGTACACTCATTATATCTATTCTTACGTAGTGAAATTGGTGGAATTCAGCCTTGGGTCGAGTAGCTGTAGCTCTTTTCTGAATTAATTGAGGCTATATTTGCAGGCCAGAATTTCCTTCATGAGATTCAAAGAGGTTTGGAAAATATCCAGAGTGGGGAAGGCGGCAGAGCACTCCTCTAGAAACAGCAATTCAGAGGGAGAAAATTCCCACAGAGATAAGAAATAAAACACAATAAGAATCTACCAGGAAAATCTACTAGGTACTCTCAGCCTAGTATCTTCCTATGGTTGCAGTGGGTCTCAGTGGGCTCCAGGCTGGGGACTTTGCAAAGAGGAGAGCACTGGGTCACGGGTCCTTCCTTGGCCAAGTCCTCATGTTCATACTGTGAACCCTGCTGGGATTTGGCCAATTTGCTCATGGGGTTCCAAGCACAGCTATGTTCCTAGCTGTGGGATTTATTACCATTATATCCCATTATATATTCCATTATATCCCACAACTGCAAATGTTTGATCTCCACTGAAATTCCTGCTCCAAGACCACTGGAGTTTCAGGGATCTCCATAGTGTCTCAGAGATCCCCATAGCAGTGAACTCTTATGCTACCTTCAGGTTATRCTAAAGAAAAATTTTGCGTTGGTCTTTTTCATACCCGGTCTTACTTTACCAGTCTCCTGAAATAGAGTGGCAAAAATGAACAAGAAGCAGTGGAAAAAAAGTTGTCTTTTTTGAAATGACAAATCACCTCACTCCTAAAGAACATGTCTGAATAGACAGGAAAAGGCCCCTAGGAACATTATATATTCTACGTCTGAGTTATTTGCAGTTGGAAATGGCAGGTTTCTCAGTCGGAGAAGGAAAAAAGCTTTCACCTTTTCCAGGGAACCTAAGATGTGCTTTCCACTCTGCAGCAGATGGAGAACTTGAAGTATTTTTACACACAGAGATGATTTTAGAGGTTCTACAGTTTCACTTATGACCTGGATTATTGGATTTCTGATATCTCAGGCACCTGGCAGTACAGGAAAAGAAATCTCCAAAGTAGGTCGGGGGTAGAGTGGTTTTTGTTTGCTTGTTTTTCACCTCTAACAGTTTCTCTGCTTATATTTTCCCATGGTGTATTTAGCATGTACAAAGTTGTCTTGGACTTCTGGGGCTCATGTAAGGCTTGGAAAGTTTTGAGGCCTTTAACCAATTTCTTTTGTCCAGCTTTTCCAGATGTAACCAATAAATACCACATTAGGAGGTAAGGTATTTTATCTCATCCTTTCATATAGAGACATGCACACAAGGTATTTTGCTTTCATAGATACATATGCATAGATAAGAACACATACACAAAGTCCAGTAGTGACACTAGTAATAGAACTGGATTATTGACTAAGCTTTGATTTAAAATTTGAATATCCTGGGAAATCTGTGCTATATTCCTTTGAAAGTCTGGTATTGTAAATAAAGATTATGAGATACCAGCCCTTAAGGTCTGTAAAGCTGGATGCACCAGAAAGACAGTATAGATAATTTGAGTTGAGAAATATATGTGTTAAGAACATAAGTGAATTCTTGCACAAACCTCTCACAATAATTGAGATAAGTTGGTGTTAGGAACAAAGCTAGGAAGAAAACAGTACCCAGTAAAAATACCAAAGCTAACTTGAAAGGACAAGTTGCCCTAAACATTCACACGATTTTGTGGGGGMTTTTGGAGGTTTTCTTTGTACTCATTTTGAATGATCTTCAGAAGATCACTTGTGGCTTTCCAAGCCACAGGTAATAAAGCCATCTGTCATAATTTCTATTGCTAAACTGCCTCGTGGGTGGATACTGAGTCACAGGAAGCAGAAAAGTGTCCATACGCATTTCTCAGGGTTGAAACTAGAGCATGCAAAAAAAAAAAAAAAAAGAAAAAAAGAAAAAAAAGAAATCCAAATCGGGGTAGTCTGAGGTGGAGAACATTGCTCTTTCACACTCGTCCTAGTCATTCCTGACTATGCTATTAGACACCAGAATAAATGCCAATGTTCGTGTCTGTAGTCATGTATGCCCTGCTTGTTGTGTAGCACAGGTTCTGCCAGGGACACTATGACTTCTAAATGGGAAAGGACCTTTTTGCTTCATTCTCCCGCTACCTTAAGCCTGGACAATGGGCAAAAGACAGAGTAAAGTGCTGGAGAAGAAAATTAATATATTGCCATTAAATATAGGTATGGGCAAATGGGATAGGTGAAAAGAAATGGAGGACAGAGGTGATATGGAGAATTTGGGCAGAGAAGGGGAAAATGAAGGCTGGACTATGGCTGTATTAGAAAAATGACCTGGAGAGAGAGACCAGAGCACAGACTGTCCAAGAGGAGAGAGAAATGTGGTGTGAGAACATCCCACCTGCTCATCCAAATCCAAATATAGAGGGGAAGGAAAGCTGTCTGAATGGGACTCCATAAAAAGAATGACTAATGGAAAGCTGCCTTTGAGAAAATGTTGTCTAACACAGCCTATCTTCACTCTTCTTTAGTAAATATGACCTATGTCAGAGAATACATATGCACTGATATATCTGTCTGCCACTGGAAATGATAGGTTTAGGAATCTAACACCTCTAGGTTTCTTGGGCTGTTTTAGCCTAATTTTTAGGCTCTAATCCAAAAAATATTTCACTAACATCATTTATGTATTTCAAATTGTGCCTCTGTTGGGCCTATCTTCATGAACTGATTACCATCAGAGGCCTTGCAGCCTCTGTTAAMCTTGTCACAGTCTACAAGACAATCCAAGGTCTGATTGGTGCACTTGGGTACTTGTGTCACTTGGTAAGGCGACAGCACTATAGGTTAGGATCAGTCGTGTTTGGGTCATGAGAAAAAAAATCATACAAGACAAAGGTAATCATCAAACCATCATGAATAATGTTCACAACCTCTTTGACTCAACCGTTCATTGAGATACTTACAAGTGTAGGAACACTGTAAACTTAACCAAGACTAGAAAAAAAAATCCGTTGATTTTTCTCAGCTTTTTGGTCCAATCCGTTCATGCTTAAAGCATGATATTGTAAGTAATCCCAGCAGGTCTGTGGCTATCCCTGGGAGCAGCCGTTGTGTCCCTGTGTGTGTGTGCAGGCACTGACACTGAGGGTGATCAAGGTACAATTTAGCAGCCAGACAGCACACAATGGGGAAGGCTGTTTTTCCCCTGGGATGACTAGGTGGATAAGGGAAGATTTATACGTGTGTTTCTCAAGGGTAGTGACAAGACTCATCCCAAGTTCTGCTCCGTATTCTTGGTCAAAATACAAACCAAACAGCCTAGCTGGAGAATTATGAGCAAATGTCTCTTTCCCCCTAGAAAGGTGCCATCTTGCCCTGATCCCTGCAGATTCCTTGGCCCCGGGGCTGAGAATTCTAAAAACATTATCTCCTTTTTGGGGGGATAGAAACAGATGTCCAGGTCCTTCAGGTCAGCTCCCGGCCGTCTGCAAGGTGCCTCGGGCATGGACAGGCACCRTGTGCAGCCTGGTGCCTTCCCCAGCTCTTCGGTCCTTGGGCTGCCATGTAGCAAGGCCTTGTCTCCTCCACTTTCTCTGTTACACTTCCCTGTTTCCTAGGAAAACCTGCCTCACCCACCTTCCCTCCTTCAGCCAAGTCTGCTTCCCTTCCAGATCCAGACAGATCCTTTTCATGCAAGGTTTAGAGTTCATGCCTAGTCTCCGATGTGACTCTTTTGCACAGCAGCCCAATCTACATTCACACTCCTTTGCTGTTTGCCTTTGACTGTTATTTTCCCAGCCCCCAGAGACTTTCCTCCTTCTGCATCTAGGCACAACAGGCTTGCTTAAGGGCTCTCATTCGAAATGAACTTTACACATCCCTTGCTTGCCATATTAACATTGCTATTTAAGATTCTCTCCTTTGGATTTAAGCATTCAAGCCTGCCTGCTTTGCAAATGTTATTTCCTCAGGATCCTTCCTTTGGGAAAGATAAAGTTACTGAGCGTGCAGTAGGAAGGGCAGAGGAAGAGCATGCGGTGTCCCGGCTTCCCCACACACTCCTGGAGCTAAAGGACACGTGCAGTCTCTGACCACTGCCTCTCCACGGGACACAGGCTCATTTTGTATTGACAGGGGCAAAAAATATGAATCAATCAAATACTAAATCCAGCTTCTGAGATGATGGGTGCTGGTCTGAGCACTGTCTCAAAGGGAAGACTATGCCCAACCACAACTGCCTTTCTCTTGCTCTCCCTCCCAAAGCAAGCTCCAAAGCACAGCAAAGCACAGTTATTAATACAACAGGAAAAAAAATWAGCACAAGTGAAAAGAAACATGAAGAATAGAACCTGGAAGAAAGACATTTGCTCTCTCCCCCTGCCCATCCCCTGCTGTCACACAGATCAAGTCGCACTTAACATAACATCGAACCTGGYCCCGGCTTCCTCCACAGCAAAAACTTGCAGCTGCTGAACACACAGACACCTTACCTGGGGTGTATGTCCACGAGCAGCACCAGGGTCTGCATAGTGATCACGTCAATCCGTTTACAGTGGAACCGTGCCACCTTCAGCACTTTTAGATATGTGAAACACAGCACTACGAGGGAGAGGAGGAAGCTGAGGGTGTGGAAGACCCCCGTGAAAATCACAAACTGTGTCCTCTCCTCTGGTCTCTTGTTGTACAGGGTGCAGGAGGCATAGAGGTGATGGAAACCCACCCAGGACAGAGAAGCTGCCACTATCGGGAATGACACCGAGTGCAACCACGTGTAGCTCAGTATGAGCGCAGCATCTCTGTACCTCATCTTGGAGTGATAACTGAGAGGGAAGACCACAGCAATCCACCTGTCAATGCTCAGAGCTGCCATGCTCAGCATGGAGTTGGTGGTCAGGAAAGTCTCCAAGAAGCCCACCACRTGGCAAACCTCATCGCCTCCCGGTTGCCTCTCGTAAATGATCCCAGCCAAGGTCAGGGGCATGCTCGACACAGTCATCAACAGGTTGCACAGCGTCAGGTTGAGGATGAACAAGCCCGGCACCTGCTTGCGGATGTCGGCGCTGTACAGGAAGCAGATCAGCACCAGCACGTTGGACAGCAGGGACACGAGCATGAGCACCACCACCACGAAAGCCAGGGTCACCTCCCAAATGTTCATGGTGCGTCCGCTTCACGGGAGCAACATCTCCAAAAGAGCGCAGCGCCGGCGGCCGGCGAGCACCGCGCGGGGCGCGCTCGCCTCRCCCTCCTCGCCAGCCCGCTCGCGCTCCTGCATGCCCGCCGGATTTTTAGAAGAGCTGCCTTTTTTTTTTCTGTCTCCAGCCTCCCCCTCCTCGCTGCTCCTTTCCACGTCAACGCCGCCGGAGACGTGCACAAAAGCCCTGGGAATGCCCATCAAACTGCGAGGAGGGCTCAGGAAGCATCAGCTGGGCTGAACCACTGGCTCCGCTCGGTTCGTCTCTCCCGGGGTCCCTAATTACGAAGCCCRAGCTTGCAGGCAGTGCAGGGATGTGCGCTCTGCCTCTCGTGCTCTCGCTCTCTCCTCCCCTCCTCCAGCCCTCCCTCGCTTCCAGGCTGAATGTARCCTGCTTTTTATGATCGCAGATAAAAACCCCGTTAATGGATTAAGGCAAGCACACTGCTGGTGATTCGCGAGCATGGTTATGTCAGCCCCTCTCCTCGGTCCCTCCCCTTCTCCAGGCAGTTGTGGCGAGACTTTCCTCGGGAGAAACTCCACACATTCATTTAATTGATTTAGCCACTAATTTGCAAACAGCCATATAGCTGCATTCCTATGCTCCAGCACATTCCCTACATCTTGGTGCATCCGTGTCACAGTTGCTGCTTGCTTTCTGCTCGGGCAGGGAGTCTCTTTCCTCCTCAATAGCTCAGAAAGATAGGAAAAATGTACATATTCTGCTACTTCTCTGGAGCTGTCAGTAGGATCTCGGATCCTACTTGGATCTATAGCTTAGCACTTTGCTGTCCTAGGTCTCTAAACATGGCCCACAGTCAGAAAATGATTCGCCCACCCTCTTCCTCTTGCTTTTGAAAGCAAAGAAACCAGAGCACCAAATGGTTCTCTGGAAGTGTATCCAGTGGAGCTCGGGATGTAGGTGCTTTACGGCAGTGATGGAGGGGAATCTCACAAGTTCACTGCCAGCTGTGGAGTCAGGGTGACACAAGTGATTCCTCCTTCGCACACTCAGCCTCTTCCCTGGCTCCAATCAATCCTGCAAGGCCCCGGCTCACAAATCACTCCTGTGCTGCAAAGCCTGGGCAGCCACAGTCGCCGCATAATTTAGCCATTCATCTTGCCCTGCCACACACAGGGATACGCGTTTATCAGGACACTTTTCGGAAGCAGTGCTTCAATTTTCTCTTAAACTAGTTGTAGTTGCTCTTGGATTCAGAATTTCTGCACAAGAGTGATTCTCCCCTATGCAATAGGGGGTCTGGCTTAGGTCTCCAAGCAGAAGGTGCACAAGGAAGGATTAAATTTGCATGCGCAAATCAAGAATTAGGAACGACAGTCAGGAAACGAGAGCTCCTCTGAAGCAATAGATAGACGTAATGTAGCAGGGAGAGGGACAGCCAGRCATGATTCAGGGAAACAGGGATGGGATATGAAGGGTTGGACTTGCGGCTGGGGTAGTATAGGGGATCTGCCCTGCATGGCACCAATGTTGTGAAGGAAATGGTAGACCAGAAGAGTAAGGTTGAAAATATCTTTAAAAATCAGCAGAATTATGGAGAGGCTCTGCTGGATAGATCGTTCCTGTTCTGTTACAAGGAGTAGAAAAACACACAGTCCGTATGTCTGGATTTCTCTTGCTTGGATTGCAATTACCAATTCATGCCTAGGGATCAATTCTGAGCGCTCTGCACTGCTCTGCCCCTCTGCCCTCTGCGCTGCCCACAAGCCAGGCGGCAGCAAGAGGGGAGAGCCTGCAGCAAGAGGAATTCCTGGTAGGAAAATACGTGTCTGCATTGCATCAGCAGAAGCAGGTTAATCCAAAGCAAACCCCCATCCCATCTCCCCTGCACTTGCATCGGAGCTTGTTCCTGTGAAACGCCTCCCTCCACCTCATCCCTTTCATCCAGAGCTGGGAAGGGTGGGATTACTGTTCCGATTAGCGTGGGGAAGCTACATCAAAGCTGCGAGTTTGACGTGTTCTTCAATAATTCAGTAGGCCTGAATGAATGAAGCGTTCCTGGTCCCATGCTTCACAGTTTTCTATGTACAAGTTTCCCAAATCAAAAAAAAAAAAAAAAAAAGTTGTTATTGATAAGGCTAAACTCCCTCTATTTACAGAAGAAATGTAGCAGCTAAGAGACAGCTCCAATCTCTAACCAAGTGAGTAAGCCTTCCAGATTCCAGGGAAAAGCTGAACTTTTCTCTTGATGACTAATTGGAGTCTCGGTATGTATGTCTAGCTCTAAAGGCCCACATGCTTTGCATAATTGATTYCCTTCTTGCTAATCCCTGCAGCTGGGGGTATTTACTGAGCTCTTCTGCATTTATTTATTATACATACCTAGGAGAGCATGATAGATCCATCAAATAGCTTCATTTTATATGAATCAGGAGGAAAGAATATGCTGTGCGTATTTTATCACTGTAGAGAAAATAAATGTGTTGCACAGCTTGCCTGTGAGCTCCTAATGGCAAAACCTGCATGTTTTGGTTATAATATTTCAATGACATGCTGCACTATGAATTAGAAATAAGTACTASTAATAAATACCAATTATTACCGAAGAACTCTCACGATATCAGATCTTGATTTAGAAGATCGATACTCCTTTGGCATTTGCTCTGTTATCAGGCACACAAAACTATAGCACATTGGCTGCATTTTTGTATATTAAATGTAGAGGGGACTCTATGAATCAGCACGGCCCATGAGATAGAGCAAAGGCCCATGAGATAGAGATAGACAGTCAGGAGAGCTGACTCCTATATCACTACGGATGGGAACATCAATTCAGCAAATCTCTCCACCTTTCTTCTGTGTACATGGATTTTACACTCATGGGGACAAGGRCAAGGTGCTTGTAGACAGTGAGACCCTGAGATTTGTGAGTTCCCAAAGGCTATATCTTAATCAAATAGAGAGTGTTACTCACAGAGGGCCAGTTCTGTAGGGATAACACAATTTCTTGCTATTCTTTTACAACAGCCTATCAATAAGAGATTTATTGCCTATGCACCACTTGCATACCGGTTTACCTCAACTGAGATATGATTTGTGCTGGTATTATATCAGATAAGAAGGATATTGCAACATTATGAAACTTATCTGGATAAGAGTTTTATTTATCGTTCTCCATATAGCAATTTTATTACATTTTTGTCTGCATTTGGCAAAGCGCAAAGGCATAAATCTAATTATATTTCAATGCTTAGAACTTATCATTAAAGTTAAAAATTTCTTTAATCTTAAAAGTATGCCATGGAAGAAAAAGAGAGTTACATAATGGCACTGAACAATAGCAGATTGTTTTTATKGGAGACAGCATGTTTCCAGAATCACAAAACGGTTGAGGTTGGAAAGTACATCTGGAGGTCTCCTACTTCAACTCCTCTGCYACGGCAGGTTGCTCAGGGTTCGACATCTCCAGTGATGGAGTCTCCRCAACCTCTCTGGACATGTCCCCATGTTTGACATCGGTTTTTCTTATGTGAGACTAGTGAAATAAAGGTCCAGATATGTTTTATAGCATGTTGGTGACACTGCATAGGGACCCCAACCTCCCCCAGGGAACTGGATCTGCTGGATGCAGACAGCGCTTATGCCTATGACGCGTGGATAGAAGGTTGGTCTTTGATAGGAGTGTTCATGTTGGGGAAAACCCTTCTCTGTGTTTGTCCAAATGAGAGTATGGACTATTCAGTATAATGAAATCGTTGTGCTACATCCTATTTATACACTATAGGAGACTGCTCGATAACTCGACCAAGCCAACTAAGTTACTCCATCTATGTTTGACTAGCAATGTGCAGACTTTACCAGTCTCTAATAACAGCAATATTGACACATGGAAGAAATTGTTCCTTCTTTACCTGTGTCTCAGCCCGCTCAAAGGCAGCCAGGTTTCTCTGGGCAGGCAGTGTGCCTGCAGACAGCCCCTGGGTATTTCCTCTTGCCTCTATCAATCCTTACTCGTTTTGGCTTCATGACTTGGAGAGTTTGCAGGATGTTCATGAACTGCAGAGACTTGTGTCTTTTTATTTTCAGTTAAACCAAGCTCTTGTAACAGCAGTATTTTTACTCTGACTKTTGGAGGGTCAAATGTCATGGTGTAAAAAGCACAGTCTAATCCTTTTCTATACGAGTAAGATAACGGCTCATGAAATCACTATTCTGCTGAATCAACAGCTAAACTCTCACTAACTTCAATGGAGTCAGAATTTCGCCATATATGTACTGCACAGATAGTATGAGTAATGACTTGTGTAATGTCTGCATACTTTGGGAGGATGGTAGACAGATTTAATGGGGCAGCTGGCACTGCTAGCTCGTTGCTCCACTGGAAATGTCACAGGCAGCGGAGAAAGCTTTCTTCTCTGCATCTGCAAAATCGCAGTTTTTGAGTCACTGCACAGTGGGAGCCGAGCCTCYGTTCCTCTCAGACCTTGGCTAGAAGGAATGTCATGGTGCAGAAGGGTTACACATCATTCAGTGTGTTTCACTGAGCAAGTTTTCTCCAATTTCTATCCCATCTTCTCTCCCATGTACAAAATGAAAAAAAAAAAAAGCTTTATTATGTACCTTGCTTTATCATGCATTTGCCTACTTCCTTGCCTTCCAGACAGTGGTATGTGTCATGTTTATTGAGTCCTGCACATTATGAACCAAAGGAGGTGTCTCAACAGTTACATGGCTTCTTGCAAGCCACCACTCTGGAGACTGGAGCGAGAATTCTTCCACATCTTCACCATGATGCCCTTGCTCTCATTTACTGAGACTCTTCTACTAACTTATTAATGCTCAGGTTGTCACTACTCATTTGCTTCCGTCAATGAAAAAACATCAGGTCCTCAGTCACATGAATGTTGCTTCTGGATGTTCTGCCTCCTGGATAGATTTTCAAGGGCTCTTCAGGCAGATCCAGGACTCAAATCAATGCAACAGCAGCAACATGGGTGTATCT